AAAGAAAGAGGGAACGAGAGGAAAAATGAGTAGAAAAAAGGGTCTTGAAGTTTTTATGCAGATGTTCTAAGGTAAGGGGGATGATAACTTTATCTCTTTAAAATTTTATTTACTACTATATTTATTTATTTATGTCATTTTTATGTATATTTATTTAGTGGGGTGTCCCTAACCTCATTTATTTGCTTAACCTGTGATTATTTTTATCCATAATAATTATTAAGATGTTCATATTTTATATTGTTTAATTATTTTATAATGATTGTCATTTTTATTTATATCATTGGTACTTTTAATATATTTTTTTTACATAAATATATTTTTTTTACATAAATATATTTATTGTAAATATATTTTATAATCAACTATAATATAGTTGTGATATTTTGGACTCGTTTTGTTGTTATTTCTTCATGTATTTATGAAGATAAATATTGTTCTATGACCATAGAAGATAAAGTTTAATTATTTGTAACTGGAGGTTTGACCTTGGGAATTTAAATGAGTAAAGAATGAAGGTGAAATATCCTCTTGTTAATTAAGGTGAAATATCTTTTTATTGATTGGTATTATAATGATGCTCATTTATCCTGACTAGTCACTACAAGTATAATTCAAATTTTATTGTATCATGAAAATCTAATATATGATCTATATATTTATATATATATATATATATATGTGTGTGTGTTTAATACTGATTATAAATAATTCTGTATATTCTTTTGAATTATTGTATTTATTAGATATTGTTCTCACTTCTCTCTTTTCTTTATTTTTAAAATTAAATATATTATAAAATAGATGAATCTACTTGGGATTCCAAATCATTTTGCAGTTGTTATTACTAGTGTCCTACTTGGAAGAAATTGAAATATGAAAGCTATTTGATGGATCTGTTATAATTTTATTTTCCAACCATATTATTTCAATTGTAATTTTCTTTCCACTATCAATGTAAATATTGTAATAGAAGTGGAAGAAAGAAATAATATGTAAAATAATACATTATCGTAAATATTTTAGAACGATATGTCATGTAATAAATTCATAAAATATTCTTTTTCTTTATCTTTATCTTCATTAAAAAAAATATTGTTAATGATATAATTACAAAAATATTATATAAAAAAATATATAATTATTATTATATAAATCGGGCGTTACAATAAACACTTTAAAAATTAATTTCTTTTATAACTAATAGAAGAAAAGATAATAAGGGAAATACACCCAAGTTTATCCTAATTCATAATATAACACAGGGTTAAACTTGCCAACATCCACTTTTAAGCCTGGACGAAAATGCTTTAAAATGTTGCGTTCTACAAGAATGTGTCGTGTTTCAAGAGATACAAATAGGACTTCCAACTTCCAAGATGTAATTCACTCCTTCCCCCCCAAAAGAAGGGCCTCCAGCTATGTATAAACCTGTATGTTGGGAGGAATTCTTTTGAACAGAGGACTTCCGTTTTTGACAATGCTACGAAAAAATTAAGTATTACCAATTCATTTTATATCTTGCAATATGTGTTCAATTTATGCATATAGATCTCTAATTTGGAGAGGGGGTCATCAAATATTAGTATCGAGATTGTAGAAGAAAATAATACAATATAACATTTATAAATATATTACTGAAACCTTGTCATTGTGAAAAAGGTAGCACTGAGATGCTTATTAAATCATCAAATGAATGATTCGGGGGAACTATTAATTATGAACAGTGAATAGTATATTTGTATTATTATTAATCGAAGCATACAACTCTGCACAGTGCACATAATACAGAATTTTTATAAACTGCAAACATCAAAGTTCAAGTGCTTATTAAATCATCAAAGGAAATTATTCGGAGGGGAACTAGTAATTATTAACAGTGAATAGTATGATTCTTAATCGAAGCATACAACTCTGCACAGTGCACAGATTGCAGAATTTTTATAAAATGTAAACGTCAAGGTTCAGGTGGCTTATCGTTTTCTTGCTTGTAGAAGGTTTCGTAAGTCTGCACTCTTGGCTTTGATTCTGGCAATTCCAACTCTTGCATAAAGCCATCAGTCATCTTGACGAAATCATTCATGTGAACTTGTTTCCATTCCTTTCAAGTCAAAAAAATAAGAATAATCAGGGGGAAAAAAAGGCCCTCTAGAATAGTGAGTGATGCATGAAAAGGGATTTGAATTTGAATTAAGACCAATCGAAGAGGTCTAGCTCAGTTGGTTGTGCAAAGTGCAAACATTGTTGAAACTTGTAAACTCTCATAATGAGTTTGATTCTTGTGAATCCAAAATTTTTTAATTAGAACTTGAAATGAAGAAACCAAAAGCACGTGTAAGGTTTAATAACAAGGACACAAACTTGTATATATGTCAAAATGGGTGTGTATGAAGTGACGATCCAGTGAGTGAGGCCTTTAAGATTTAAACCTTAAAAAATATGTTTTAACATTAATATAAAGAAATCGCCCCCAATAAGTTAATACCCTCCTTAATCATAAGTACACAATATCAAACTTATGCTGCAAAATACTGATGAGCCAAGATGCTTGAAAAATCTTCACCAAAATCAGAACACGAGGGAAGCAAAGGGAAAGCATAAAGAGAGGTGGTCAACTATATACAAGTTACCAAAGAATAACTACTACAACGTCATCCGCATTTTAATTTGTATGCACAAAAACAAGTAGCCATAAGTTGTTCATCAAGGAAATTGAATCATTATGCCATGCCAATTACTAATGTTAAAAAAGTTTTTAACAAAACATATACAATCACATCTGATCTGGAAATCTCGTCTTCACCCAACTACCCTGCGGTTGAATTTCTCAGTTGTGAACTTAATCAACTTATAGTGTGTTATGGTGAGAAATAATCATTATCTTTTATGGCAAAAACAAATCAAGAAATAGTTGTTTCTACTTTTTCATGGTATTGCCATATCATATGCTGAGGGGATAGAAATTGTCGAGTGTTAAACACACTATTAACCCCCTTTCCCTATATCCAAAGTGTTTTATAATGCAAGCATAAGTCAAACAAAGGCCTTGGTCACAAATAGCTGGCATCATTAACTAAATTTCCCAACATATGAAGAAGAAAAGAGAAGAATAAATGTATTTGAACTGTGAAGATATTTTTATTCTTTAAAGCGGAGCAAATGAAAATAAGAAAGATGGCATGCTGACCTCAAAATCCCATTCTGCATACAAGTTGGGATCGTTTGGGTTGCTCCAAACATAAGCGTAAACTTGTAGATTTTCAGCCTTGTCCTGTAAAATTGATTTTGGCATTCGTCTGAGAGCAGAGAGACTAAGCATGTAATATAATTTTGGGAAATGTAACATTTGTCCCGTTTGTTATAATTTTATTTTAACCATGTTATTTATTTAAGAGAATCGAGTCGGGAACCAAGTACTTGTTAGTTGCCTCGTTTAGGCAAAGGGTTAATGGATGAGTAGAAAGTGGAACAAAAAGAGTGACTCACAATCAAGGAAACCTGAAGATGAGTTCTAGTATATTCAACATCCTCAAAGTCATCTAGAATATTGAGTTCGAGTCCGGAGATGCCGAGAAGCACCTGGTAAAAAACAAATGTATGTAAGATGAGTGGATGGATGGATGCATATATTTGAATAATGAGTTATGTGTAGAAAGAGAGAGACCCTGCCAGTAACTTTGTTATTGGGGACGGGGAGAATAGCGGGATAAACGCGACCTTTAATCTTAAACCTATGACTGCAAATAAAAGAGCAAGTTAGTTAGGTAATAAAAAATGAAAAGGAAAAGGAAAAGGAAAAGGATTGTGAAGAGAAAGAGAAAGAGACTAGTCTTGAAGGATGGCGGGTGCGGTTGGAGGGACGCGCTTCAATAGGGTTTGGACAACCTCATCGGCCAAGAGACTACCGTAAACGAACACGTTGTGGGTGTCGCCACTCACACAATTCACCTTCACGCTCATTTTCTCTCTTCTACCTCTACCTCTACCTCTACCTCTACCTCTACCACTTCCTCTCTTAATGCTATATGTATTACCAAAATCACGTCCTCACTCCCACTACAGTTAACATTCTAAAAGACACATTAATAGTATTTACCTAGGATTGCCATGTTAGATTAGTAAATAAATAAACGCCTGTCGTTGTTTTTCTTTTCTACCTTTTTCTTCTTTCTTTATCATCCCCTAAACCAACGATCCAGATTTTTCAAATAAGGATCTTTTCAGAATACCAATCAAACACTCATTTAAACCCTCATATTACCATTCACTCCTTTTCCTAATTCCTTATAATTTCTCATACCGTATGCCCTGTCACCCTCTAACACTTGTTACTAGTTTTCCTTATTTTAAATTTTTAATCTTTGTCCAAAGTATAGGCTGTCGCCAGGAATAAGGCAATTTTTTTAGAGCTTTCTCATTTTTAGAATAGAAACCATCACTGGATACCATTCAAAACTCAAAAGCTTTAGCAAAGTAAAAGTTTGAACGTTTATTCAATTATGCTAATATAAATCAACAAAAATTTATTAGTTATTGAGGAAAAACAACTTGACGTACAAAATAAAAATATATCAAAACTCTATTAAAATATAAATTAATCATTCATACATTATCAGTAAAATATGATTGACACTATTAAAACCTAGTAAATTTCGTAAACCACACAGAACATTTTAACAAATTTTTTCACTTTAACATAGCCTAAGTTTTATAAATCAGAATCAACAAAACTGATTATCAGAATCATTAAATCAACCTTTTAAATACTTCAACACGAAAATAAAGTTTATATAACATTTTAAGATTTTAAGGAATATTACAAATAATTTACTGTTACAACACTTTCATAGTAAAATATAATGAACTTTCACGAAATTAATCAGTTTCATAAAACAAATACACAAATAAACCCAGTCTCAAGGTTGGATTTCTCCAGCCTAATCAACAACGGAATCAATTTTAAATGCTTGAATGTTGAAACTTGAAATCTGTGTTTTTTACCACTAACTACCAAGACCAAAAACAGAAGTTTAACATGAGTGGATAATTGCTTTGTATGCAACACCAATTCACCAAAGTATACACGTTACCTTGGAGCTATATGATGAAACAAAAGGTTATCCATGGTACATAAGATATAACCCGACGAAAAACAATATCCAACCAAACAATGTAATCGACTACACATTGTCAACTAGTTCATAAAAGAGATGACGAGATATAATTTAGCCGGGCACGATTCTGAAACAACGCAACTTTTTCACATGCTCATCGGCTCTGGGGCACCCAGAATGTCTAGCAAAGAGTTATGAGGCTCCATTTCCTCATGCCATAGTGGAAGTTGGTCACCAGGGTAGAAATTCCTGGTCACTCCCTCAGAGTTTATCTACAAGGATTTCAAAAATCAAAATCAGGGGGTTTCAAATTATTGTATATATGTATAATATGAACCTTGTGTTTAAAATACAAGTTGCCCTTTTGAGTCAGTTCAATTGATTATAAGCCAAAAAATGTGTGTACAGGTTCCAATTTCCCACAATGCCAACTGCCTCTTCCTCATTCCCTTACCCCTCTTCTACTTCATAATAAATGAGCCTCACTTAGAGCAAAAGTAAAGAAATAATAATTGGTTAAGATGTCTTACAATGACTGTTCGGACCACCCCACCACTTGCACCATCACGAGCAATAGCCAGTGAAACTGCCTTCTTTACTAAATCCTGTCATACAATAGATATACTGTCAGCATAAGGATTCAGAAAAAAGTTCACCCCAAAAATATCATCCTCATAATCTCTAATAGCTTCCAAATTATTAGTCATTGTTCATATCTGAAACATATTGTTGCACTGGCAAGAAAAGCTGATTAGGTCCCCAAAAGCCAACAACCACCACAATATTTTTGGTACTTAAGTCGTTTTTTTTTTAACTTAATACAGGCAGCAGTAAGAATGAAAAAACATGCCTCAGCTTCATCTTTGGTCATTCCCTCTTTCCAGGCTTGGTCAAAAAAACCATACAAGTAACTGGAGCCCGATCCTGCAAAAGACAAATCAAGTAAACCACAGCTTTACTAACAAAAGCCATGCATCCCAAGGAAAAAAACACTAACAGTGAAGAATTTAGAAACTTTTGTGTTTTAGTCCCAGACTCCAGTAAAAAAAATGAATAGATTTGCCAAAGGGTCCATGCATCACTTATTAACTAAAATAGATCTATACAATGTCAAACCTTAATATCAAAGGAATAATATGGGCAACTGATACAGGCAACATATGTATATAAGGATACTAACATGTATAGCTGAAAGTGAATACAAAAATCATAATAAACTTGTATTCATAAACACGTTTAATAGTCAAATACCTCCGATAGCAAAAGGTTGCTGCACTATTGTTCCACCCAGAGGAACTCCAAAAATTTGTCCACCTTCATATTTATCCCAACCACCAACGATTAACCCAGTCTCTAAGAAATTCTGCCAATGAAAGTAAATTTACAACAAAGCCAAATATCAGCTACCCTGGTCTCTAATAATAGATAAATATATAGACAAGACAGAGCAAATCTAGTAGTACCAATCAGGCAAACACAATAGTGGATCATTTGATAATCTTTGGAATCAAAATACTTGGTTTCCTATATCATTTAAATGTCCATGTCTAATCTAAAATTTAAAATAGCTATCTGAGGAAATTGTGTCAGTAACATCATTGATAATTGTATCTCCTCCCACTTGACCAATTAGAAGATATTTCAGCTTAAAAAATGTCTCCTAAAGCCCCTTCCAAATTTATACAGTAGCCACTTTCTGAAACTTTTCGCCATCAAGACTACCTAAACATGCAAATATTTAACTATTCTAATCCTAACAGTCCAAAGGGATTTTGTGTTGCTCAGCAGGAGCTTTAACTAAATATTAGAGATCATTTGAGAAATTGGGGTTGTGCAGTCCATACAGCCGCCACACCCAGTGGGATAAGGCTTTTGTTGTTGTCTTAGTGAAATTGCCTCCAATTGCTCCTCACATTTTTCTCATTAATTTTCAAAATAGAAAGACAGACCATCAGATTATATTATATCCCTATACAAAGAAAAGATTTTAAAGTTCCAACTTGGTTTATGTCCACTTCACTGATCAAATTAATCCAGTTCAAAAGTAATGACTAAACTTTCAAGCAATCAGTTTCATTTTGGTCTCCTCGTTACTCAATACTCTTATTTAATAAATTCTAAGTCTCGTACTGATTGAAATTGGAGATACTTTAATGCTATAATTACAGCCCCCAAGACTAATATAATCAACCAACTAATGTGAAGTGAATTTGACATTTATTTAGCTCAGTTTTAACTTTATCAGTTTACAAGCTTGAGGTCTGAATGAACATAATAACATTTCACGTTAGTGAACAAGAAAACACAGGGTAATTCAAGCTTTGACAGAACAAACCTCAAGTCAAGTCTTATGGGAAGATAGTAAAATCTTAAATGGAATTGATACTATCATTATTGGTGGAAAATGAACCATGCCAATCTATTTACCAAGAAAAAGCTTTAAAGTCAAACCTTGTTGTTATATGACAGAAGCCGGACAAGGTTTGCAGCAACTTTAACTGTTGCAGGTTGTCCAAGTTGTATCCTACACGTATAGAAAACTCAAAATAAAGTAAAGATCATTGTAAATACTCACACACACTAAATCATAATCTAAAACTCTACTTTGAAAAATAGAATATCTTATTACTGAATAATAGGGAAAGTCGCGTCACTCACGTGTGTTGATGGAGGAAGTAGCGCACATAGTCAGAAACAATTTGAGAATCTGCAGCCTGCAAAAAATACACAGATCGTCATTTTCAGGGCATAAAAAAATAACAGTAAAAGAGAGATTCCATAATCATCCTATGCAAAATTATAACCCAATTATGCTCAGTATCCCACGCCTAGAACAAACAAAAAACATTATTTAAAATTATTAGTTTCATGAATGCAAACAGAACCTTCACCATATCGTCACCCACATATTCCACACACATTGATAAAAAATAAAAAAAAAAATACTTTTAGCTAGGAGCAACATTTGAAAATGAGAAACATATGATGCAAGAGATCGATGGAACCTTTGATAATAACAGACTAAACAGCCAAAAGCCTAATTGTCCCCCAACACATCCAGTTCACAACAACTGAGTTTGAAACTCCATTATTTTAAACCTCCAAAAAAACATTCAACACCATACATTACGAGGAATGAAATGCACGGTCAAATCAGACACAACAGATAAATATCTAAAATAATAGAAACACAAAATCAAACCCAGGTAATAATGATTATAAGCATAAATGAGCATAACCAGAAAACAATTTGACATGCACACAAGAGTGATAGGAAAGAAAGAAGAGTACCGATCCAGAGCGACAGACGTAAACATTATCAGTGAGCTGTGTGATTTTGTCCGAAGCCCGGTTGGCAACATACACTCCTGAAAATGAAAAGTAACAATCCCCAAATGAATAACAAGAAACGAATCTCAATTGTAAATGAAGAAGTCGGCACTAATTAAGCATGAAGCTGTCAAAAAAAAAGAAAACGAAAACCCTAAATTAATTTAGGTTGGGTTAGTAAAAGTGTACCAGTGCTGGTTCGAGAGTCGGCTCCGAGAACGACGCCGCCGTTGTAAGTAACGCCGATGATAGTGGTCCCCATAGAATGGGGAGCACTGAGATCCACCTTCTGATCCATGATTACGATTACCAAAAAAGAAGAAGAAAAGAGGGTAAAATGTAGAGTGCCCTAGCGCGAAGAAATTCAGGTCTCATTCTTATTGTTTATACTTATACACTATTACCATTACGACTTGCTGGACAAGTTTTTCTTTTCTTTTCAATAGGCCTAAAACATTATTTTACTATTCATCTATTATATTATATTATTCTACAATTATATAATATAATTTGTATTTTATTTTAACAATAATTCTTTAAATTAGTTACTGCATACTCCAGGAACGAAAATAAAAAATTATTATTTATTTTATGTAACAAAAATTTAGGATAAATACTTACTTATAATGTTTAGGATTTTAAATATATAAATTATATTTTAAATTTATTATAAATAAATAATTTATATTATAAGATT